GTGGTAAGGAAGCCTTGGCGGCTCCCCTCGTGTACGTGGAAAGGGCGCTTGCCATGGGCACAATAGGATTGTTTATTGTCCCTGAATAGACAGGCTCATTGTCAGTGCAGTGGTTTTGAGGCTCTGGCGATCAAAGACAGGTTGGTTTGAAAACGATCTGCGGATCGGTGCGTTTGTTTCCCGTAGTCCGAGGGCCGCGTGTTTGTCACGCGCGACACAGGAGATTTCCCACACCGCGCGCGGCTGGGCACTTGGCGCCGAGGCTCATTATCGTCCACGTAGGCTGCCGTGAGCGACAACATGCAGAAGCGCGACGGTTACTTTTTTTTTTTTAATTTTGAAGAAAGTTTGTCGGCAAGCGTCATGTGCGCGCCGTGGCAGAGCTTCGTATGCCATTTTTTTTATAGTTTTGAGGAAATGTTTTTAGCGCCGCGCTCTCTCTCTGAAATACACATTTCAAAATGTGATTACAAAAAAAAAAGAAAAGAAAACTACACCCACACACACACACAAAATGTTAAATTTAATACAAATAAAAGCATTTAGACCCCTCAGGGCCCCGTATTTGCACGAAGACTTTCGGTCGAGGCAATGATTATGTATGCATATGTGTCTGTGCATTCCTGTGGTGCATTCAATTTAAAGCGAGAAGTTATCAACCAGACAAGCCAATAAAGGATATTGGCTCTTGCGTCTGACGTTGCGCCATCTGTGGCCAGCACCTACAAATCTGCGTGCACCGTTATGACATGGTCTGTAAAACGGCTCCGCAGAATTGCGAAAAAAGTTTTTTTTTTCAGCTTTTCATGCAGGCAAGTTCATTTGTTAATATTTTTATTTCGAACGCCTGTTACTTAGCTGAACGTTGCTTTCAATTGCAGCGCAATCACCCGAGAAACCAATTTTTGCGGGCCGTCTGAAATCGCTTTGAATCATTAGAGTACAGGCCGTAATAAATTTTGCAAAGGGAAAGCAAAATTCAACAACACGGCTTAGAGGCCATTTCCGGCCAATCAGACAGCCCCATATGAAGCTTGCGGACTTCAAGTGCAATAAGGGTTCACAAAGAAAAAGCACTTTCCACTCTATTACAAATTAGCAAAGAAATTAGAGCGCACGGTGTTAATACCTTTTTATTACCTCTGATACCCACCGTAACCGATGCGTTACCTCGGATATACCTGTAAATTATGAGTCTAAGGGATAAGATTTATCGGACGATGCTTGTTCAGCTAAAACACAAAGGTGATCATTGCGCAAGCCGACAGCGAGTTATTCACAATGAGTGCATAGATTTTTTTATCACATGCACCTTTCTAGAGGAATGTGCAAGAAATGCTTATGATCGCAGCAACACTAATCTATGGGTAAATATTTTAATAAACAGCTCAGTATATCCATAAATGCGTTAAAAAGCGAAACATTCCTAACAACCCCCCCTCCCCCCAAAGCAATGGAAGGAAACTACCACTTAGGAAAGGCGACATTTTTTTTTTTTTATTGAGCAGAATGTAGCGAGTCGCTTCCTTACTGAAGTAAAGCTGCCTTTTTTCAAACTAAGAAACGACATATTTAATTCTTGTCTTGGCGAGTAGCGAGTGACGGTATTTAGTTTTAGTAACCTTATCATGCCTTGTTCGGGCGCACTTTCTTAGCGAGTTGTCACCAATCTTCGAGATCGCCCTACGTTATGCCGGGGGAGGCGTGGACAAAATACAAGGTTTTAGGGGCTTGATATTTGCGTTCTGGTGATTGGGTTTCGAGTGCCGAGGTTGCTGTAGTTAGGAGATGGGTTTTGGATCGTTCAAACCTCCCGATAAATTACAAAACGTCTAAGTGATTGAGTGCGTTTTGACTTTTTTTTTTATCAGAGCGAATGACAATATATCCGCATGGCAATCAAAATATGCTGAGTAAATGACGTACACAGTGCTTTCAATCGTAGGTAGGGGTTGCCATATAACTGTCAGTCTCCGTATCTGTTTATTTAAATATTTTATCTCATTTGTAGAAAATGAAAATCATCATGATAAAGAAATTCTCGGTTTATAATCTCATGAAATCACAGAATCTTACAAGGAGATGTAAATCCTTTACAGGCGCCTATTCACTTCGCACTCGCATGTAAAATGTCATATTCAGACATAAACGTTTATCTACGTTTCCTTCTTGTTTATTCGTTTCGACCCTTCCCAGGAATAGAGTTACAGAGCGGTCCAGAAGTACATCAATGACGGCATCACGATTATATATCAAGACTTTTTGTTCCGTCTCTGAGAGGAAAACCAGACACCCTTGTAGACGTCGACATGAAGCAAGAGTACGGGGAAATCCGTGTTCGGCAACGGCGCGTGGGCGCGGCCGCACATGTGTCTACACTCCCGTTCTCTTTAAGTTCGACAACTGCCGATTCTACGGTTCACTGGAGTCCATCTACCCGCAGCAATACTGCGTTGCCTCGCGGCTAGTAACCTTTGTGTGTTTGGAACCACCGATAAATAGAGAAGATAAATAAAAATTCCAAACTTCCTCCAGCAAAATCGAACAGGGGAATCTAAATGTCGTCTTGCACAAACCAGTATGAAACATGTCGAATGGTAAATTCACGTTGGCGACAAACAACACTTACATAAAGTTTAAAATGAGTTCCCATGCTCAAGACCATTAAAACTAGATACCCCCAAGGAGCGCAAGCTAAATTCGCGCACAGAAATTTCACAGTGCGCAGAGTTTCTGTAATATACATTCTCACAGGTCGGGCATCTTTATTGGCATTACACCCGGCCAGTGTTCTTCTCCCTATCGCGCAAAAGAAGGGAGACTTGAGTTGTGGTGAATATTATAATGTATAACACATTAGACAACCTTCACCGCGGAACATCCAAATAGCACCGGCGGGTAGCCTTGACTAGCGTATTAATATGCATACGAATATTAAGAGAGACACATCTCCCCTGGAGAAATGGTAAAAGTCGTTGATAAGCCACCGAAGGTTGGCTTATCAACGACCTACCTCCCGCTATCAATAACCTACCTCCCGCGACCTACCAACGACGGTTCTAAAAATTCCTAGGGTCCCTTATGTTATCCCAAAGACGGCCTGAATGCGTAAGCCCCAGCGCCAATGTAAAGGCGATATTGAACCTGCGAAGACAGTGCCCTCTCTTGCGACGATTTTTTGGCGCCGTTTCACTGGTAACTTTCGTTTTGGAACCTTTCATGGCTCCGACGTGTTTTCGGTCGAGGATTTTGAAAGTCGATTGAATAAAGAAACATAAGGTTTTCATCTTAATCAATATTTTATTTTTGCTACAAGAATTCGGAGAGTTGAATTTTGATTACAACATAAAATAGGACGTGATTTCTCTTTTATTGAGACAAAATAGGTGAAAAACAACGATTGATTCACAAGTGTCTCCTACGTCTAAATCACTCTTTACTTAGCGTGATTTGGCCGGTTTTTGATTTAATATAACTAAAAACGATTTTTAAATGTTATCAATTGTAACTTAAACTTTATTAAGTTATTAAAGCTAAAAATATACTTAATGGAGTTTTTTTCTCTTTTCTTAAACTAAATACATTTTCAGAATCTCCGGGGTATGCTCTTTACGACATGCTAGTTTAATCCCTAAATTTAAAATAGCAACTGAAGAAAAAGACATCAAATTTATACTAAAACAAACGTTTATATTCACCACTAAATTCATTGAGGTAACCGTCAGAGGGCCAAAAATTGCAATTTAAGTGGTTATTAAAAAAAAATAACAATAATTTTTTCGTTTCGCTTTCACGAGAGCGAGTTGACCAGCATTTATTTTACACCATTAAATGTCCTCTAACCAGCTGCTGTGGTCCCCTATTACAGCATTTTATGTTACGCTTTTATTTTTGCCAATATTAACTCTCAGCAAATTTTTAAAAGCTTAAAATTAATATTGTGACGTAGTCTAGCAGTCATGTGGCAAATAAGTAATCATTCAAATTTTGCTCGAACCCTCTTTTTAATGACTGGCAGTTGCTCTCGTTTTCAGAGGCTCAATCGTTCATATGCCATGGTTAAAGGTGTAAAAAACTAAATTGAATTGTCTGTTTTATTATCGAAAGCATTAAATGTCTCATGCAGTGAATCCAGTGAAACATGGAGCCTAAATTTCGATTGGCTGAGCGAAACGGCACTTGAATTTTGCATTGGGTGAGCGAAGCGGCTCCTAAATTGCCATTTTCTCATTTGAAATAAAACACAAAGAAAAGCACAGCAACTGAATGCTTCGTCACGGTAGCCGTCGTGAGGCCGGCAGGGTTTGCCGCGCATGCGCAGTGGGGGAGCGGGATGTCACCACCGGAGAGCCGTGTGCGATAAGAAGACGTTGCGCAATGCTTGTAGGAATGCGCTGCGTGTAGGAATGCTTTCGCATTCCAGCACGTGAGTAGTTGAAGAAACTCAATTTTCGTTTTTCTTGTATAGCCATCGCACATGACGCAATCCCAATAAACATCATCATCTTCTGTTTTGGTTTTGTCAAAACATGGCGTACGGCTCGTTCCTCGCGGCGGAGTTCTAACATTTTGGTGCCGAAAACTCGGGATGACAACGATATAGTCACGACGGAATGACGACGGGGCATCCACCCGCAACGAAACGAGCCAAGGGACGCCGCAAGAAGAGCGAGCTCCAGCGACGCTACCGACGTTATCACTCAACGAGGCCTAGTGACGTCGCAACGAAACGCGCCAAGAAAACGCGCCAAGGGGCGCAATAAGAGAAGAACTCCAACGACGCTACCGACGTTATCACTCAACGAGTCAAGGGACGCCACAAGAGAGCGAGCTCCAGCGACGCTGCTGACATTATTACTCAACGAGGCCTAGTGACGCCGCAACGAAACGAGCCAAGGGACGCCGCAAGAGAGCGAGCTCCAACGACGCTACCGAAGTTATCGCCCAACGAGGCCTAGTGACGCCGCAACGCCAGCAACGCCGCGAGACGCAGAAACGCCATGGAACGACTAAAGCAGAAGCGGACGGCTCTGAGGTCTCAAGTAACGAGGCTGATCTCCGACATCGACGCAGCTATCGCAAGCCACTCCGACGAGCGAAGCCTCAACGTATTATCGGTGAGGCTCAGTGAGTTGCGAATACAGCTGAGCAACGTGAACGCATCCATCGAAGCACTGGTACCTGACGGAGACATTGAGCAAAACTACGCCCGCACGATTGAATATGACGACAAGATCGTCACGCACATCGCCACCATCGCACAGGTGGTAGAGGAACTACGACGAGCGAGGCCCCAAGCTGGTGCAACGCGGATTCACAACGGCGATGACGGACACGTTGCAACCTCTAAGGTGAAGCTGCCGAAACTGGAGCTTCAACGGTTTGGCGGTGCAGTTACCGATTGGCAACCCTTCTGGGAACAGTGATTGGCAACCCTTCTGGGAACAGTACAAGCAAGCCATACATGACAACGACAGCCTCTCTAACGCTGAGAAGTTCTTGTACCTGCGGTCGGCGCTCACAGGAAAGGCAGCATCGGCGATAGCCGGCATTCAAGCAACGGGAGAAAACTACGATACCGTCGTTGAGCTTCTAAGGGAGCGCTTCGGTCGGACTGACGTTCTCATTCAAGAACACCTCTCCCAACTACTTGATTTGCCAGCAGTACGACACTCGAGCGAGGTGAGCGGATTGCGACGTCTCTATGACCACTTGCAACGTAATATGGCCGCTCTCACCGCGCTCGGGGTGAAGAGCGACACTTACGGAGCTATGCTCTGCTCTGCGCTACTGAGAATGCTGCCGGGAGAGTTAGTCATTGATTACCACAAGTGTCAACGTCCTGCGGACAAGGGAAACGACGGTATCAAAATAGAGAGCCTACAACACTTCCTTAAGCTTGAAGTGGAGAGCCGTGAAGAGGCTCAACAAGTTCGTCAGCGAGAAGCCAAGAGTATGAGCCATACCAAAATAACAGAAGGTGGAAAGGCTTCCCTGAAGGGATCAGCCGCTGCTCTTTCTTCAACTAGTCGCTCCAAGCAGACTGAACCATGCGCATTCTGTGCCACGAAGAACCACACTACACGAAATTGTCAGACATCAATTTCTCTGGAGGAGAAGAAGCAAAGATTTCGAGAAGCAGGACGATGTTTTCGGTGTTTGATCAAGGGACACACCTCCAAAGAATGTCGCAACACAAGAATCATGTGTGAAACATGCGGGCGAAGGCACATAACTCAAATGTGTGACCCATCCTGGAAGAAAAGTAAGAACACCGCAGCAGAGTTACACTCTTCGACTGGCGGGAAGAGCGATGAAGCACCTGCTGTACTACTTCAAACAGCTCAGGTCTGGGCAGAAGGGAAACAGCAAAGAGCTCTCACGCGCATCCTTTTTGACGGAGGAAGCCAACGAACCTTTGTGATGGAAGAACTTTCACGTAAGCTGCAGCTCGAGGTTGTTGGTGAAGAAGACATTACTATTTACCCTTTTGGAGGAGCAGGAAACATCATCAAGGAAAAACGCAGAAGGGTACGAGTCTGGCTAAGGAGCCAGTACAGCCAAAAGAAGCACTGCCTAGAAGCTCTGGAGATACCAGAGATTTGCTCCGATCATCTTCTTCTACCTGAGAGTGTAGTGCAAGGAGTCCAAGTACAGATAGCTGAGCTGGCAGACGTCACCTTGCCACCAGCCCAGTTAACAAGACGTGGCATTGACATTCTTATTGGTGCTGACTACTATTGGACCCTTGTCTCTGGTGAGGTCCAAAAAGTGCAAGGCGCTCTAGTCGCTGTCAAAACAGACTTTGGATGGACACTTCAAGGACCGATTCCCCAAAGCGGTTTGACTGCCTCCTGTTCTACTGCGGCAGTTCTGAAGGCCAATGTGGGTGGAAGCACATGCTCATTGTCTACCGAGATCCGGTCATTTTGGGAGCTGAAAAGCATGGGCATCACCGATCCTAACCTCCCACAAAAGGAAGAGGAGAATGAAGTTGTCAGAGCATTTACATCATCCATCAAGCTAACTACCGGACGGTACGAGGTGGCCTTACCTTGGAAGCCAATGAACCTTCAGCTGGCAGACAATGAAGGAGTCTCAAGGAAGCGTCTGGTGACCCTCACAAAGAAGTTGCTTAGGGACGATGTGATGCTGCCTGAGTATGATCAGACAATTCGCCAGTATCTCCAGCAAGGATTCGCAGAAAAGATTTCCCCGAATGCAGACAAGGCAGAGAACCGAGTGTACTACATGCCTCACCGTGCTGTGTTACGACCTGACAGCCTCTCGACCAAGGTCAGAGTCGTGTTTGATGCGTCATCAAGAGAACCAGGGTGTCTGTCTCTGAATGACGCACTAGAGCCAGGACCAAACCTGAATCCAGACCTCCTGAAAGTGTTACTGAACTTTCGGATTCATCGTATCGGCCTCAGTGCAGACATTGAGAAGGCATTTCTACAGATATCACTGAGACTGGAAGATCGTGACGCTCTGCGATTTTTCTGGTACGAACGAATGCCAACGAAGCAAGAGCCGAACCCTCCTGTGGAGGTGTGGAGGATGACAAGGGTTCCTTTCGGAGCGACCAGTACCCCGTTCCTTCTCGCAGCCACGCTACGTCACAACTTGTTGATAACAGAGGACTATCCGGAAACAACGAAATCACTAGCCGAGAGACTCTACGTCGATGATCTTATCACCGGAGCGAACACCGAGGAAGAGGCGGAACAGTTCTATCGACAAACATTACATGTCATGAAGCTAGCCGGAATGACAATGCGGAAGTGGAACACAAATTCTACGGAGTTGCAGCAGCTATTCAACAAGGGAGGAACCGGGTGTGTTCTAGATCAAGTAGAGTGTACCACCCCTAGCGTTTCTCAAGTGTTAGGACTTGTCTGGGACAAAGACAGCGATTGCCTGGCGTTCTCCATGGGGCCTGTTTTGGAATTCCTAGACCGGAACTGCAACACGAAACGATTCATTCTCCAGGCATCATCTCGCATTTATGACCCATTAGGACTCCTTTCCCCAGTCACCGTGACAGCCAAACTGATGTTCCAAACCCTCTGGGAACTGGGTGTCGACTGGGACGCGCCACTACCTGAAGAGGTTCAAACAGGATGGACGCAGAGGCATACAGCACTGCACCGCTTAACGAAAGTGGCAGTACCCCGAAGGTGCCTTGAGCTTCCTGAGGATGACCGAAATGAAGTCCACATATTCACAGATGCCAGCCCCAAGGCTTATGGGGCTGTGGCGTACCTGTGCACGCAGACTGCACCAATGAGGGTGACTTTGGTTTTGCCCAAGACCCGGGTGGCGCCGCAAAAGAAACTTTCTCTCCCAAGACTTGAATTGATGGGAATGGTGATAGGGGCACGGCTAAAGGACTACCTTACTAGGTCGTTGAACCTACAAGTTGCCAGCTGGTACCTCTGGACAGACTCAACAATCGCACTACATTGGGTGCGAGGTTCTGCTCAGCAGTGGAAGCCCTTTGTGGCCAATCGAGTATTGGAGATCCAACAGCTGACTGATCCAGAGCTTTGGAACCGTTGTCCTTGACTAGAAACTCCGGCTGATCTGCTCACAAGAGGGGTGACACCCGAAGCACTCAAGTCGAGTGCGGCATGGTGGATCGGACCGCCATGGCTCACGGAGCCACCTGCTGCCTGGCCAACGCATGAAGCGGGTGTTGATTTGACCGTGGCTGATGAAGAGAACAAACAAGTTCGAGCCCATAGCGTGAAACTGAAAGAAGAACAGGTTTTGCCTAAGCAGCGCCACAGTTCCCTCTCGAAGCATGTTCGAGTTGTTGGCTGGATACGACGATTTATACATAAGTCTAGATATCCCAGTCAAAAACGCAAGGGTTATTTGACGACCGAAGAAGTAGCACAAGCTCAAACGTGTCTGATCCTGCAGGTTCAACAGAAGGCGTTTCAGAGAGAGCTCCAATGCGTTCGACGCTCATCACGCATGGAAAGCAACTCTCCGTTAAGGGACTTAAACGCATACCTGGACAAGGACGGGGTGCTGAGGGTCGGAGGACGCCTCGGTAACGCTGACATGTGTGACAATGCAAAGCATCCCATCATTCTTCCATCAAGTCATCATTTTACCGAGCTTTTAACCAATGCCACGCATCGACGACTTCTCCACGCTGGCCCCCTTGAGACTCTGACAGAACTGCGGGAACAGTTCTGGGTCGTTCGAGGAAGACAGATGGTAAAAAGTGTGCTGAAGAAATGTGTGATCTGTGACCGTGTCAAGAGCCGAGCGGCCAGCTAGCCAGTTGCTCCACTCTCTCGAGACAGAGTAACCCGAGCGGCCCCCTTTGAGGTGACTGGTGTGGACTTCGCGGGACCACTCAACACAAGGGATAAAGGCAACAACAAGAAGTCTTACATCCTCATTTTCACCTGTGCCGTTACCCGTGCCATTCACCTCGAAGTAGTGACCGACATGTCCACCCCCCAATTTTTGATGGCCTTCAGACGATTTGTGTCAAGAAGAGGAGTGTGCAGAGTCATCTTTTCTGACAATGGACCTGAAGAAACTGTGGACCACGGTGCGTGGAGAGGAGATACAAGCCTACTTCGCTGATCGGCAGATACAGTGGAAGTTTATAATCGAGAGAGCTGCCTGGTGGGGTGGGTTCTGGGAAAGGATTGTCCGGTCGGTGAAATCCTCGCTCAAGAAAGTTTTGGGTAACAGCTACTGCAACTTCGAAGAGCTGACGACCATCTTAACTGAAATTGAGGCTGTAATTAACTCAGGACCTCTGACATACGTTTACACCGAAGCCACCGAAAAGGAACCACTCACCCCTTCCCATTTTCTGGTGGGAAAGCGTTTAACTGCACTTCCGACCAGCTCCAGCGTGGAGCCTGTGCCTCCCCTTGAAGGACAATACAACAGGCGGCGGCGTTACCGCCAAAGGATGGCAGATCAATTTTGGCGTAGATGGAAGAGGGAATACTTGACCAGTCTGCGATCTGCTCATTTCACGGTGCCGACTTCCTCCAGTGCCCTGAAGAAAGGAACTCTAGTGTTGGTCCACCAACATCTCCAACCTCGACAACTTTGGAAGACGGGAGAAGTCGTAGAAGCATTGACTGGACGAGACAAGCACATACGAGCTGCTTTGATGCGTCTTCCTAATGGTACCATTGTTAGGAGACCCGTACAACGTTTTTACCCCATGGAATCTATTTATTAATGACTTGATGTCATTGTGGGGGAATGTGAAGAAACTCAATTTTTGTTTTTCTTGTATAGCCATCGCACATCACGCAATCCCAATAAACATTGCCATCTTCTGTTTTGGTTTTGTCAAAACATGGTGTACGGCTTGTTCCTCGCGGCGGAGTTCTAACAGTAGTCTTATATGTCTCAGTCAAATATGTTTAGGTGTTTAGCTAATTCTGGCAACAACGCAGAGATACCTGTTGTTTTTCAAAAAATTTACATAAGCTTGGTCATGCTGACAAGGACAGGGAAGCACATAATATCTTGATCGCAAACTAGACGTCGCAGAAAGATATAGCACATATTGACGTCACATGTCTTGAGGTTACAAGAGGTGGTCACATCACGTATTATAAATGTGGCTACTAAATTTAGCGGATAAATTGACATCACGTTTTGGGGTCAAAAGCATGGTAAGGAGACGTCGATTTGCTGGCTAAATATAGCAGAGTAATTGTCGTCTCGTGGCAATCATTTCTCGCTACATTTAGTGGCGAAATTGATGTGATGGTCCTTCCTGTTGCTTCTGCGTGACGTTTATTTTTTTATGAAAGTTTTCTAACGGAATTTAACCAATGAAACACTTTCAGTGCTAAAAGACACCAAATGTCTTTCTTTTTGAATCAACCAATCAACTTTAGTACTGTACCTGGTGGAGGTCCCCAATGCTTTCTACAATGTCGTTTAGTCAGTTGTGGCATAAAAATAGCGTTACTGTTTGGAAAAAGGGCTCCGTCGTGTTTGCAATCAGGACGAGCCGAACGCTTCCGTCCTTTTTCCAGTCCCTCTTTGGCTGACTAGCAAATGAGGAAGGGAGGGAGGCTTCTGTTCAGTGCGAGCGGGTTATTTAGTCACTGATTATTGAGCGGCATTAAATAACACCATAATGACGCGACAGCTTTGTGTGAAAAATCTGCACGGTCCTTACTTACTTGTGTCGGTGTTGGATGCACTACAGGAAGGACATCCGATAGAGTGTCGGCAACGGAGTGCAGCTATAGGCTTGTCGTCATAGCGTCCGCTATCAATGGTGTTACGATCCGTGGAATTACGGGCTAAGATTTGGACTATAATCCTTGATAGGTTAAAGAAACGCATGTGTGGCGCGTACGGAGCCTCTGATCCTCGATCCGCCGCCAATCAGATGACGTCGTTAATCGATAAGAATGCTGACTAACAAAACATAAAACATTAAGTGTTGTTATATTAAACAACCCCCAATATTTCTTATATTGCCGCTGATTATAACACTCTTCGCTCTCCCCACGTAGACAGAATATTTAGATAACGATCGTCTTCCCGTACAGCTTGGTTTTTTTTTTAAAATTCATGACAGGTTTAATTCTTATATATTTTCAGTTTTCTCAGATTTTTTATAACCTGCTTGATGACTACTCTTCTGATTTTGAATATATTTACCAGAAACAAATACGAAACCCGAATTATAAATGTACTAGAAAAGAACGACATAACCAATACGGTGATTCTACTATGTTGGGTTTTACTTTTGTCAAATCATTAATATGCTTTTCACAAGAAAATTAGAACTTGAGGATATATAGTGGGAAACTAAATTTCGCTCTGCAAATAAAAAAAAAAATAACCGCGTTTTATTTTTTCTTTGTACTTGGGAAAATTAGGAGTTCGAAACTCTGGCTTCGTGCATCAGGGTCACAGACGAATGTTGTTCAACTACCACGTGTGCTTGGTAGAAATGAATAAGTTCCAGAATATTTGGGCTCGCGTTTTTGGTCTAGTGTAGGCTACCAAATTACTTTGATTCAAAGTAAAGGCCACAGAGCTTCATCTGATATTTATGTCACGATAACTAAAGCTCAGGATGTCACATTTTGTAATTTATAAATACTTTTAAAAAGACTATCCGGTAACATTGGAGGCAGGACCTGTGTCCAATACATGCTCACAGAATGTCTCCAAACATTGCGGACTCTGGTGATTGATGCAGCAGCCACTAGATGGCGAAAAATTTTGAAAAGGGTCTATTACATCAAAAAATAGACAAAAAAACATCTTTCCAAAGAGGAAGCGGCCACAAGATAATCAAGGAAGGGAGTGCCGATACTATAAACCTAACATATTTAGTGGATCTTGAACGCTTCAAGACATTGGGATATTCTGACCACATACTCCCGCCTGTCTCGGACGAACATTGGCTGCTCTAGGCAGCGGAGTAATACCTGGTAGCCTGATGTGGACTACGAGTTCAAAGGGTTGACACAAATATTAATTATGTTGCTGAAAATGTCGCAACTGACGTTGGTGATTAGTTTGATGATAAGGTGCCACTTCTCACCTGAGGGGTAAGTTTAGGGACAAAAAAAAATTGAAGACGATAACAGCATCCAGAACACAATTGACCGGAGAACCTAAACAGGAAGTGATTTTAATATGTATTATTATTGCAAAGTTGCAAGCAAGCTGGACAAAATAAACGACAGTAAACCATAGGGAAGGGGAACAAGAGGAACACAGGGCAAACACAAATCTCCAAAAACAGCTAGGTTCCTGGTGCGCGCTGAAAGAATCCGCCTAGTCCTACTATCAAACCAGGGACCTCTCTATTTCCAATGGAGCGTTTTATCAAATGGGCTGACCAGGAGTTAGACGTCTCTAGAGCAAACTAGTGTTATCAGCTTCCACACGTCAAACACCGACAAGGGTGAACGGCCTGCAATATTAAGGTTACAATATTAATGCAAAGTTGCAAGCGAGCTGGACAGAAGAAACGATACTAAACACCGGGGAAGGGGAACTAGAGAGACAAAGGAAAAATCGAAATTTCCAAACACAGCTAAGTACATTCTGCGCGCTGAAAAATTCCGCCTGCTCCTGGTATCAAACCTGGGAACTTTCCACCACTTAAGAAAGGCGTCTTTTTTTTTATTTTCATTTAGAAGAATATAGCGAGTCACTTCTTTAATGAAGAAAAGCTGTCCTTTTTCGCACTACGAAATGACGTATTAAGATCTTTTTTGAGCGAGTAGCGAGTGGCTGTCTTTAGTTTATGTTTTAGTATACTTATCATGCCTGCTTCGGCACACTTTCTTAGTGAGTTGTCACGTATCTTCGGGATCGCCCTACGTTATGTCAAGGGAGGCGTGAACAACATACAACATTTTAGGGGTTTGATATTCGCTTGCTATTGCTGTAGTTAGGAGATGGGTTTTGGATAGTTCAAATTTCCCGATAAATTAAAAAAAAGTCGAAATGTATAAGTGCAGTGTAAAGTTTTTTTGTTTCTTTTTTATCAGAGCCAATGATCATATTTTTGCATGGCAATCAAAATTTGCCGAGTGTATGAAGTACATAGTGCTTTTAATCGTAAGTAGGGGTTGCCATTTAGTACCCGGATATGACGATGCCACTAGATTTGGCTACTGTTGCATCTCCCTTTAACTGCTTGGATGTATCGAGAGTAGATGCACGGACACTCTTACGCATGGGGGGCAAAGTGAGGTAATAAATATGGGTGTGACAACAAAGATGTCAGTCTCCGTATTTCTTTATTTAAATATTTCATCTACTTTGTAGATAATGAAAGTCATCATGCAAAAACAGATTGACGGCTTATAATCTCATTAAATGGCAGAATGTTCCAAGAGGGTGTAAATCCGCCTATCGGCGCCTATTCTCTTTCCACTCGCGAATAAAATATCATATTGAAACATAAATGTTTATCAATGTTTCATTCTTGATTATACCATTACGCCCTTTCCAAGAGTAGAATTACAGAGCGCTTCAATAATAATAATATTGGGGTTGCGTGGATGTTTATACAGCGTGCAGTTGGTCAGCCATTTTCAAAGTTATGACGAGTCCCTCGCTGTAGATGAGCAATTTAGCCAATGCATCAGAACCGCTAACCAGGTGTCTTCAACGTGCACCACCCGGTAGTGATACACGACCGCACGCCGGTACGATGCTCGTCCAGATCGAAACGGGCAAGGGTGGGTATCGGCAGATCGCTTCACAAGTACATGGATGACGCGCATCCCGATGATATTTCAAGACATTTCGTTCTTTCTGTGAGAGAAAGGTCAGACTCTAGTGTACATCGGTTTGAAGCAAAATTATGAGGAAATTTGTGTTGTGCAACAGCACGTGCGAGAGGCCGCATTCGTGTCTACACTCCGGTTTTCTTTAAGTCCGACAGCTGCTGATTCTACGGTGCAGTGGAGTCCATCTACCCGCAGCAAAACTGTGTTGCCTCGCGGCTAGTAATCTTTGTGTGTTTGGGACCACCGGTAAATAGAGAAGAGAAATAAAAATTCCAAGCTTCCTCCAAAAAAATCAAACAGGGGACTCAAAATGTTGTCTTGCACAAAATAGTATGAAACATGTCGAAAGGTAAAGTCACGTTGGCGACAAAACAACACTTACATAAAATCTAAAATGAGTTCACACGCTCGAGATAATTGAAAATAGATACCCCCAAGGAGAGCAGGCTAAATTTGCGCACATAAATTTCACATTGCTTAGGGTTTTTGTAACACACATCCTCACAGGTCGCGCATATACATTGCCATTACACCCGGCCACTGTTCTTGTTCATATGGCGCAACAGAAGGGAGACTTGAGTAGTGGTGGATATTATGAAGTATAACACTTTTAAATAAGCGTCACCGCGGAACATCCAAGTAGCGCCGGCGGGCAGCCTTGACTGGTGTATTAATATGCATACGAATATTAAGATAGGCACATTATCATTGGAGAAACGGCAAAACAAAAGTCATTGTTAAGTCGCGGAAGGTCAATTCGGAAGAACCTACCTAACACGGTCTATCAACGACGGTTCTAAGAATTCGTAGGTTCCCTTATGTTATCCCCTTGACGAATTAAAGGCGACAGCACTAGCGCCGATGCAAACGTGATTGTGAACCTGCGAAGACAGCGCGCAATCTGAGAACGATCTTTTTGCGCCATTTCACTGGTACCTTCGTTTTCGGGACTTTTTATGTCGCCGACGTGTTTTCGCTCAAGGACTTTGAAGGTTGACTGGACGAGGAGACATAAGGTTTACGCCTTAATAAATAGCTTATTTTTCTACAAAAATGCGCAGCTGATTTTGATTACAACACAAAATAGAAGATCATTTATTTTTATTTAGACAAATTAGGTGAAAAATAACCCTTAATTCAGAAGTTCCTTCTCCGTCTAAATCGCATACTTAGCGTGATTCGGCCGGTTATGTGTTAATCAAACTAAAAACAATTTTTAAATTAAACAAATTAGGTGAAAAATTACCCTTAATTCAGAAGTTCGTTCTCCGTCTAAATCGCATACTTAGCGTGATTCGGCGGGTTATGCGTTAATCAAACTAAAAACAATTTTTAAATGTTCTTGATTGTAACTCTGATAAACAAAGGGATGTTGAGTCGTATAAATAAGGCGTGTTTCATCTTGATCTGGATAATTTTACTGTTGTGTCAAAATTAAATATTGGAATTTCTTATTTTTTTCATGAAAATATAAGTTTACAGTACGTACAATAGAAACAAAATGTATAGTTAAAAGTTTCAAGGCAGAAAAAGTACGTTTTGCGCAGACAACACTAAATTATATTTTCCATGTAGCGATTCCAACGGGTTCGAACCAGTTTGAACCAGTTAGACCGTGATTTATGATCCCCGTTACTGAAACGAAACTGAACCCAAACTGAACCAATAAACATTTATGGTTCTACAATATTGTTTGATGAATTATAGAACACGATGGAATGGCTCTAGTAAAGCGTAAACAAGATTCAACAATCACACTAAGACACCTTTTTGGCCGATTAATCCCCCCAAAATTAAGCTTACGGACTTGGGTTTAAATACGAAACGAGAAAAAAGAACACTTTCTACTTTATTACAAAACTACAAGAAGGGTAGCGTTACATCAGCTATACTTGTGAAATCTAAGTGTAAAGAAGAATATTTCATAAAGAAATGTTTGCGGTGCTGAACCTCCCTCAACTCGATTAATAAGCTGGATGAGGCCAGTATGAGTTGGGTGAAGCCACCTCCAATGGCATTTGAGATTGGCGCAACAGTTACGTAGGTAGCTGAGTCGTACCCGTCGAGAAACAAAAAGCACAGGGTTGTACGATGGCAGTAAACTGCTATTATTTTGGAGTCGTTGAGGTATTTATTCTGCAGTACAGCTCTCATTACTCAGTTAGAACTTGGTAATGTGGAGTTGGAAAGCGACCTCAACTTGTATATAGAGAGTAGAGGCATTATAACTTCAAGTTACGAAAAACTTTCCGATAGATTCGCTGTGCGAGACCAAAGATAAGGTACGTGAGATCTGTTAAAGCCTATTTTTATGTAAATTATGACCGGCCCCAGCAGCATGCGCGTGATAGTTTGTTGTGAGTTTCGATATCCAGTGAATGGCCTTATTTCGTGAACATTTTAGAGGACACCGACACTGAGAAAAACGTTTGGGATTTGTAGAAGCTCTCTACGGCTTTACCACAAGGTTCGGGGGAGGGCGTTGAACGAAACATTTAAGGTTCACTTTATCTTGCATTTGCTTCTGTTTGAATCTGCACCTCTCGCTGTTATTGCCGTATTCACAGCCACGTTATGCGGCTTTGCCGGACAAAATAGGAATTCGGACGACTATTAAAGTTATATTTATTATGGCATTATTACATTCAACATAGGGCGACAATTATGGTCCGATTGAGTGCAATCCTACCTTGCGCGGTGGCGTACTCTACCCTTGTATTATTTGTTGGCTGGGCACTGGTGTTCTATTTGATAACGGGGTAAAGATTCCAACAATACTGTGGAAGGTCAAGGGGTTGCGGGCCGTTGTACCATGAATGAACGCTAAAATAGCTCAGTTCCATCGCACGCTTAAATAACTCATCTTCCATCAAATATTTGAGCTCAAATCGTTTTCAACTAACAGAGCTTTCAACGCACGAGTGTTACTAGAATCCATATGACTGCGAGGTATAGGCCTCCTGCGCTGAAGCTTTGAATGTATCGTGGCGCACTTCGGTGGCGGGCATTAAATGTCTGAGAAGTACAAGCCTGCCAAGGTTCCGCGGCCTCGTACGTACAATAACAATCCTGTTCGGGCGGCTTTTTGCCTCTGTGCGCTGCTGTTATTTGGAGTTCTCGTGGTCGCGATTTAAAATATGTCATCCGTGGTCGTCACCGCACAACGTTAGCCCGGGGACCCGACCTCGCCCCAAGATAGTAATTTCTCTTTCGTCCAAGCACGTCGAAACCCATGCGCGGCCTCGATGCGTTCGAAACGTCGCCGTCGACGGTACTGTTGCGTCGTCAACTGTCAAGAACAAGAAGAGCCCCGGAGTGAACTTCTACAGATTCCCATCGAAACCGTGCGAAGTCGAGCGAAGGGAACGATACTAGCCCCCCAGCGCACTGAGTAATCGAGACAATTGCTTTTCTCGCCCTCCAGGTGCTAAGGCACGACCACTCGATCAAGCGGCTGTGACATGCCTCGAAACGTGCGTCATGCGAACTTTACGAACAGGGACACGCTATACTGGCCGATCAGCTGAGCGATCAGATTGACCTACACTTCGTTTCAGCAGCCGATGCTACAAGTGCGAGCTGCGGGCTTTCAGTGACCCTGTCAACTTGAAGCAATGTTCAGGGCCACATGCTCGCGCTTGTAGTGTCGGAAACTATGTATACATCGAGCATGCGTGCGCACCAACGCACCACAGAAATCAACAAGCATGTGCTGGAGGCGGAGCTCCTACTGCTGACCTTATGTTGCGTGAAGCTTACATCGCAGATGTGTAAGAAAAGCTGCAACAGCTCGAAAGGCAGCTTACAGTCCTTCGTTTTTCTCCTGCCCCGGGTGGTTGGCTAGCAGACGCACAAGCGTACGGGCTTTCGCCTTTCTGTCCTAGCCGAGCAAGCCACTCGGGGTAAAATTTCTGTGGAAATAAAGATTATTATTATCATTGTGTTTGATGCCGCGCTGGCTTCCCTCCCTTCCTCCATTCTTATTTATTTATTTACGTGTGCGAGTGTGTGTGTCTGTGTATGTGTATATAAAGTCTTGTATGGTGCCACAGACCTACGAGTACGGGCAATTTTCCTTTTGGTGTGATCAAACGTTTCTCAAGAGTTACGTCGACGTCGACGCAATAGCAGCAAAGGCAAACCGCGTTTTAAATTTTATCAAACGGAATTTCAAAATGGCCCCAACAAATATGAAGGAGCTGTTATATGTAACTAATGTTAGGCCAATCTTAGAGTATGCTTGTCCAGTGTGGGGCCCATATTACGTAAATTTAATATCGAAACTAGAGCGTGTGCAAAATAGAGCAGCCCGTTTTGTTGCAAATAATTATGAGTTTTGCTCAAGTATAACAGATTTAAAGAAATAACTGGAGTGGAAATCTCTGATTTTGCGGAGAAAATATCTTAGAATGAAACTTTTCAGAAGTATTTACTTAGGACAAACAGGTATTGTGAAGGACCACTACTTACATAATCCTGATTACCTGTCTTCAAGGGTGGACCACCCGCTAGAAATAAAGAATACTAGGTGTAAAACTGAAATGTTTAAGAACTCATATTTCCCAAAATGAATTAGTGATTGGAACAGTCTTCCGCAGCACGTGGTCGCTGAGAATTCGGATGCTATGTTTTCCACCTCATTATTATGTTTTCCACCTCATTATTAGACATCCTTTAATAGTTCTGTGCTCTGTTTTTGTTTTGTACAGTCATGTTTCTGATTTTGTGTAACAGTTTTTGTAACAGTCTTATTGCACTTCTTTCAATCAATAGTCTTACTTTTTATTAACATGTTTGATACAATGCGACGTATAATCGTTTTACTTTCCTGTACCATGTACCCCCTACAATAATGCCCCTGTGGCGATGTAGGTACTGTGTAAATAAATAAAATAAAAATAAAGAAATATCAACTATGTGATCGGCCGACAGACAGCCGGTCGAACCTCGATCGCTTGCGTCTGCTTTCGAGCATTTTCAAGGTTGGTCATCAGCTGCGAGCGTTGGCTGTATGGAGGGGCTGCAGTTTGGGAGTTTTTGCTTAAAAAAGATCCGTTAACGTATCTCGTAATGCTCACCTCAAGCTCGATATCATAAGAAGCTCGCTGTTTTTGCGAGTGACAGAACGCCGACACCAAATTTGCGGCTTCTTGTACAGCGTAGACGTAGCTCGCATCGCTGAGTTTATTCTCATTGCGAAGTGTTGAGGAACGAAAGCAGCTTTCCAGGTTAGAAATTGGCACGATTCCTTGCCGTAAGACAATTGCACGGAAGGAATTCATACCGCCGGCTAACGTTTGCACGCGGGACAAATTGGAATGAGCAAGTTTGTACTATCCAATACCGATA